GCTGATACACGGCTCTGATCAAGAACGATGGGTAGGTATGTTAAGTCACATATTTCATACGATTTTTGTGCTGCTTCCCTAACGATATTATTCTGCGCCTTACAATCAAGTTTGCGCACCCTAAACACTATTGCTTGTGAGACGGATATATTTAGTTGCACACTGGCTGAATTCACAAGAATTTCATTATTTATAATTAGTTTTAAAATGGTTTAGATTTTTAAGTTTTTACTTGTTATGTTTATATTATGTTTTACGTTAGTTTTCTATTGTATTAGTATTAAGTTACTGTAAAAATAGAAAATAAGGAAATAAATAAAAAATAAATAAAGTTTAACGACATCCTAACATCAGAACAGATTCCTGAACAATGGCAAACTCCCACATAATTCTTATATCATAAAGGAAGACCTATCCAACTATAGACCAATAAGCCTATGTCAAACATATATAAGGTTTTCTCCAAATATTACTAGATCGATTAACCCACTTAGACGAGAGCAACCAATGGAACAGGCCGGATTTAGGAAAAACCTTCCAACATATCTTCACACAGTCAAACAAATCATAGAAAAATACAGTGAATATAACAAAACAGTGTATATGGCTTTTATAGATTACACCAAAGCTTTTGACAGCATCAAACATGAAGTGATTTGGGAAAGCTTAGAAAACCAAGGAGTATCCGGGGCCTATATAAACATCATAAAACAAATATATGCTAACTGCAATGCAAGAATACAAATGGAAACACTCGGAAAGACATTTAAAATCGAAAGAGGTGTCAGACAAGGGGACCCATTATCTCCCAAGCTATTTTCTGCTGTGCTTGAAAACATATTCCGGAAACTAGAATGGAATGAATTTGGACTAAATATAGATGGGAGAAAACTACATCATCTTCGATTTGCAGACGACATTGTATTGTTCGAAGAGAACCCTCATAAACTTGGAGAAATGATACAAGACTTAAACAAAGAAAGTGAGAAAGTAGGCCTGAAAATGAACACAGCCAAAGCTACTTCAAATTCAGTCCCATACGAAATAAAACTTAAAAATCAACCTCTAGATACGTTGAAGAGTACATTTATCTGGGGCAAATTATCTCTCTAACTGATATAACCACCAAAGAGATCAAAAGAAGAATAGCAAATGGATGGAAAAAATATTGGTCACTGAGGGAGATCATAAAACAACAGATTTCAGCAAAAAATAAAAGAAAAGTCTTTAACACATGTATCCTACCCTGCCTTACCTATGGCTGCGAAACTTGGGCACTATCTAACCAGCACAGGGATATGTTAGCACACTGCCAAAGAGCCATGGAAAGAAGCATGCTGAGCATAAGAAAATTAGATAAACAAATAAACTCAGACATAAGAGCTAGAACAGGTGTGACAGACATTCTCACTAAGATCGACCAAATGAAATGGAGATGGACGGGTCATATGCTACGGAGCCCTCATGAAAAATGGAGCAAAATTGTGACGGAATGGTACCCTAGAGACGGAAAACGAAGAAGAGGCGACCACCAAGAGATGGGAGGACGAACTGAAACTAACAGCAGGCTACAACTGGAGAAGAGTCGCAAAAGATAGAGAACAGTGGAAAGGGTTAGAGGAGGCCTTTGCCAAGAGGCAAACCGAACTCCGAGATATACTGGAGTGAAAATATATTAAAGTTCAGATATATAAAATGTCAGAGTTTCGGAATTTAAAGGCTATATTATTATTATTATTATAAAGTTTGGAGCACATACAAATATCTATTATTATTATTATTTACTTAACACACTGGCAGCTTTTAATAAGCTGCTGCGCGTGTATTATGAGATTTCTATTGGTACACAAACGGGGCTCGATCCTACAAGTAGAGCAAGCACACTTTATCTAAGTATTAACTATATTTTTTTATTTTTTTGTAATATGGAATCTATTAACTATAAATAACAACGCTTTTGGTAACATTATTGCTTAATTCGATTTAGATCGTTTTTGAAAGTATATACCCGATATAAGTAGTATTTGATTAATTCATAATTAAAGCATTCATCAATTTTGCAGCGTATTTGGTGTAAATAAATATAGTGCTGCTAAAAAAAACTTTGTTTTTAATCAGTTATGTAATTTTGTATGATATACCTAAACATGTATAAATGAAATATGTTCTATAGGTTAACGATACACTAAAATTTACTTTTTACAGAGATATGTAGGCCCTTTTTATAAATATGTTCCCATGTGTAAAGAACTCTTTTGGGTCAAAGAAAGAATAAAACAAATCAAAAGTAGTTACACAAATATTTATTTACTTACATAAATTAGACAATGAGTTGTTACACGCGACAGACATTACGCTAAACGAAAAATAATCACAGATTGAATACATTTGACGAATCCGCCATAATTATCACTAAACATAAAAAATATACTACGGTCCAATAATATGAGGGTTGTCACTTATGAGAAGCTGCCAACGAGATCTTGTTGAAGAGGCTAGGATTTTAAAATCAAAAGTAACAGACCTTATAAAATTGTTCCATTATTTCGGCAGTTATAAACGAATAAATATAAATCACAGTGTAGTTTAAATTGGCATACATCACAAAAGTAAGTTATAATAATAGCAAACAATTAGATCAGATAACAGCATTTGGCCGAGTACAACATCAAATCCGAAAAACCTACATCCATTTTTAATTTTACTATAAAAAATTTACCTTGGCCGAATATTATAAAGACGAATCTTATCACAGCATTCCTGTATTAACTTTAATGTTAATTTTAAACATGCATCTTGTTACTGGTGTCCTTAAAGGCACACTTTTAGCACACCTACTTTCAATTTCGTAATCCATGAATCCGTTGATTTTTATGGACTTAATAGTCTCTACCTTTCAATTTAGAGCATGTTTTAGCTGTGTAAAAGTACATTTAAACCCGCACTAAACAACTTTTGGCTACTTCATATATTAAAAGTCAAACTCAACATTATTGTGGTTTAATATTTTAAACTATTAAATCCATTAAAATTAATTTTTTTAATTTTAAATTTTAATCATTAAATCCTACACATACATTTTACCCTCTCAAAACTTCAGCCATAAGGAAAAACATAAGTGGAATAAGCAATCGCTAGACATTAATTAGTTTATAATTGTGCGAACGTCTTAAATCTTGCTGTCGGAGTGACAAATGTTTTAAATGCAGTTACAATAAATAAATAGGTATATTAAAATCTCATTTATAAACACATTTTTTAATCACACATGCAAATGGTAATCAGTGATGACGCCTAAGACATAAAAACTAAATCATACTACTTCAGCTAATCTCTTTAAAGAACAGAGGGTTAATGGACAGGAGGCTCATCTGATGTTAAGTGATACCGTGATATGTGTGATATGTAAGCCCATGGTCAGCCTAATGCTTGAGGGTTTCATCAAAAAGATACGTGTACGGGGTGAGACTCAAACCTGCCAAGATTTAAGACAGAACAATTCAGAAAGTATACGAAGAATCTAAACGGATTTCACATTCAACTGGTTTACGATATAGAGGTTATATAACGCTACATCCATAGAAAAATATGTATAGCGACATCAAAAAGTGTACAGATTCACAATCACTACAGTAGTAACATCGACACGGTAGATACTCCTAACATTAACCCCAGTCTGCGTTTTCAATACGAATATTGATTCAAGAGAAAGAGAGTCGTTGATTTACATTAGATGCCACAATTCATTGTTAATTTTGTAGAGGTACTACGAATCAGTATCAGAATATGACGTACGATGTCTTATGAGTATTACGTCTTCGTCTTGTGTGTGTTAACCCAGGCTTTCTCTTTTGTTTTATAAGGGCCGCTAGTCGCGGTGGACTTACAGCTTAAAAGACAATCACCGTCATTCTTTTTATTTTAGTATTTTCCATAATTTCAAAGCATTATACTAGAAATTTTATTCCTCCCCTAGTATCCATTGGGAATAGAAAGATATGCAACACCAACACGACCTTCAGTAATGAAGAACGCGACTAAAGAAGAAGAAATTTAGTACTGGATGGATTTTCAACTAAATCAACACGAAAAGTGAAAACAGCATACTGGCAATTGCAAATCGCAGACTCGGGTCTAAAGACAATAATATATAACTAAAACCCCGTTACAATAGAATATATTTCCGAATAAAAGAGGAAGGTCAGTACACAGTTATAAAATAGACAATTTATGGAACATCGGTCTGAAGTAAATTTTTGGAAAAATAGATTTTTATGCTGTTGTAGTAACGAGGTTTTCGTTATATATTTAGACAATTACATTACTTCTAAATTTAAGTGAAACTAAAAAGCCGATCAATAAGTTGGGATCGGCTTAAATAAACAATTTAAATATAAAAATGAAATAAAATAAGTAACGAATTATTTACATAAAACATAAATAAATTAAACAATAAAATAAATATACATTTTAAGTCACGAAGGACGCAGACTAGTTAATTACAAAACATCCAATTGAAGAAACAATAAATATAATAATAAACAAATATAACTGCAAGAACATAATAGAATAACTATTTTCGTGTTTGACCTTATTAAGTCGTTAATTTTTAAGATCTTTAACTATTATAAACACTATATTCTCTATTTATTTCAGACAGATCATATTATATTCACTCCATGGATTTTGTCTGAGAATCCAGGACATATCAACTTTGCTTCATCTTGCTTTTATCAGCAATTTGTGGGTCTATTAGTCATTCGCATAAACATAATGAGAATTGTTGAGACACACTTTCCGACTCCTACTATCAATGCGAAAATACGTGGATTTCAACGGTTGCGACGTGAAGGACAAATAAGCTTACTTTCGCATCTGATAGTATGGATGTTATAAGTGAAGTTTTAGTATCATATTGAAATATGTCATAGTAATGCATTTCTTAAACATAGTAAATAATTTGAAGACCTTTAACTAAATCCTTTGATACAATTGACGATTTATTTCTTGCCGTGTTTCTTGGCTCTTCCTACTTTGATCACTTGAACGAGTTTAAGATTTTGCGACTCGGGACTGTTCAGGAATTCTTCTAGCATCTACGCAAAAAAAAATATTTTGTAAAATAGTTCAGTTTTTTTGTGTAAACATTACGTTCAATTAAAACTAGATTAAGAAGATAATAGACGGACGGACGGTCAAATTTATTCAAAGCGTTTAAATTAGAATTTCGATGCTAAAGCTTCGCAATGGCGCTCTTAGGCTCAATGTTAATTTGACTAGTAAAAAATGGTGCAAATAAAAAATATATTGCACAACATACAATGAGGCAAGTGCCAAGTCATTCCCAATTATAAATTTAAAGTTGGTAATTTAATATATGAAAGCTTAAAGGGAACTTACCGTCATACTCAATTCAGCTGATATAGCAGCAGCGCAGGCGGGGTACTCAGCTAACGCACAAAGAGTTGGTAACAAGGCGCGACTGCGAGTCTGCGACACCAGCCAATTAGCCGGTAAAGTGCACAGTGTTTTTACTACGCTCCATCCTTCGCAGATTGCCTCCTGTTTTTATAACTAATATTTATACAACATACCCGTGAAACGATAGATTTCTTGTTCCTTGATAAGCCACATCTAAACCGCAGTCAGGTCTACGTCAAAGTACTTACTATATTATATAATAATTAATTTGTTTTAATATTATTCATAAATGTTAAGCAAATATTAAATAAAACATATCCGGACCATTTTCACGTTATTCTTGTTTCGTGAATATGAAACCCTAAAAACGTTGAAATGTCAATTAAAATGCATTTAAGTAGAAATGTAGGTACATTAAATAATAATATTGAATAAAATGTTAAAAGGAACCATTTTAATTATCAACTTAATGATAGCTATAAAAATGCTCTTATAATTGACATTTTTTTAATTTAAAATATATTTTAGTACGAGTACCTATTAGTCGTAAAGAAATTTAGCATTATGAGAACGTGAAAATTTAAAGAAAGTTGAGCAAGCGCTAACACCTGTGTCGGAAAACTAATAGTCTACCCCAAGTAGGGAATGCAATCCCGACTCGAGATCATAAATTCGAGATCCCGCGGGATTAGAAATATCAATCCAGCGGGATCCCGAGATTTTCGAGATCTCGTCTAGTTAAAAAAAACACATGACTGAATACGATGAAAACTGCTTGTTTGTGATAGTGAAGTTAATTAAAACAATATTATTTGAAAGAAAACAAAAGCCTTAATCCTTTAATATTTCTAACTAAATAATTAACCCTTTTACTAACATGAACATTAATACACAAAAGTAGGCATAGCTCAAGGAGATTAAAAAGTAGTAAAGGGGGATTTTGAAAGTTACTTCTTAAAAAACAAAGTGTATTAAGAGCGCTATCTGCTAACTGGCATCTTATGTCCGTTGCAATATACCAGCTGCTGAGAATGTCCTCTCCGCAACACTGGTTGGCAACAGCGTGACTAAGCAATTATATGCAAATTGCAAAAATCTCCCCTTTGTTCCTTCCTCCACACTCAGATTAATCGGATTTTTCAAATATAACAGCGCTGCAGTTGCTTTTATGCGACGCTCGGAGATACGATTGTTCATCGAAGAGACCAACTTTTCTGAGTTTTTAGGTCTTCTAGCTTTTGAATCATGAAACGCAACGTATGTTTTGCACTAACTCAATGAGTCTCCTAATCCCGTCAATCTCGAACGGGATCTCGTCATATTATGCTTCGGGATCGATCCCGAAAAATTACACGGGATCTCGCCAGATCGGGATCCCGCGGGATCGGGATTGCATTCCCTAACCCCAAGACATTATCTAATCAAAAACATTGTACATTACACTCCCGACATGAAATTTTAAACGTTATCATAAACAAGGCCCATCTGGTCGGGGACACAAGTTGATTATTAAGGCGAAAGAAAACTAATAAATTATTCATAGTAATGGTCAACGTAATGGAGTAACAGCGCAGGGCCTAATGCGCTTCCTTGAGTGACGCCGGCACCTGTGACCGTGGGAAAGTAGTCTGCAATGCGGGCCAATTTGCTTTAGGTTATTTATTGCTAATTATTTCAGGGAAAAAGGCTTTTTGAGTTCAAAATTTACAAAACAAAAGTTTAATTTCCGGTTTATGCTTAATTAAACGACTTTTTTAAATAATTACCTAACTTTAACAGAAATGCAGTAATAGTTTAAGAAATATTTTGATAAACACTGAATACTACTAATTTACAGACATCCTATTTTTACTTTGAGAACATTATAATATTTCTATAAACGGAGTTTTATTATAATTTTGCTGCTTAAAGTATTTAAGTTATACCAAATCAAATGCGTGTCTAAAATTGTTTAATTGTGCGTGTCCGACTAGCTAAGTAAATCATTTAATTTGCAATTCGAAATTAACCAACAACTGTATCTTTCAAATAATTACAAACATATCGGACTGTAACACATATCAATTATTCATCTAATTTGTATCTAAACATGTATTGTTCACCCTCAGTTAATTCAAGTGTAACGCAAAGATGCGGGTCTAACTGACCGCCTTGCACAGGTGCATTTACCATTCATTATTATTCACATTGTGTACTTGAAATACGTAATCGATTCCTACAAGAATTAACGTTTCGTTGGGAATATACCAAATCCTCTGCGCTATAATGCTGTAAAAGACATACATAATATACCGATATATAGTCTATACTACGAGGCGTGATCAACTATCCCATTTCCGTACTAAAATTAAAACGATCTAGACCGTTGAGTGAGAACAGGAGTTACTTTAATCATGGACTTAGTTTAATTATTAAGATGCATTTAAAATAAATACAAACCTGAAGTTGAGGATTGTTGACAACCACAAATCCGACGAGAACAATCAGGTCAAGAACCATGGTCTCTGAGAGGCTCTGCTCCAGTTTTTCGCTGCTTAAACCTGAATAACAATTATAAATAATCAAACTATATTTAAGCTCGTTCGTCGCGAATGTCGAAATAGAGTTCTTAGAGGTTATTCGATCCTGGAGAAATAACCGTAGAATGATGTTTATATGAAAAATCTTTTTATACTCGTATTGGATGACAGAACTTGGTACTTACGTAATGTTGTCTTTCTTGGAGCCTCTTTGTCGTTAGGTGCATGTTGTGACAGAAGTCTTGCCACTGCTGCCCGGAACTCTATCGGCCAACCGCCTTGACCGAAGGCTTCCTAAAAGAGAAATCATCTTGTTTAGCACATCATTCCAAAAGCAGTTCCCACATCTGGTCATATGAGCTCAGTTAGAATATTTCGTTTGTTTATTTTCCATAATTGTTAGTTCGGTTTTTATTGGAACTAACTTCGTAACTGAAACACACCAACCTATTACAGGATGAGAATCAAAGACAACCCCTCAAGGAAGTGAAACTAAGTTTAGTCACGCAAACTAGTTATAGTAAGTACATTTGGAGACCACTCGGGACGAATAACTTATTTGACCTCGGCCAAGAACAAAAACTTAATACACAATAAAACACCTATGATTGAGGTATAAGGTAATATACAAGTAAATATATTTGTTTACTTTAAACATTAGGTATTATTAGACTAACAATCAAGTATTTTAGTATACATTGAAAACTCTTTATAACGTTGTCCGTTATAACGAAAAAGTCTCTATAACGTAAAAATAGTTAATTTTTTTTGGTTTAACACGAAACCCATACATTAAAACACTTTTTAAAACGCAACAGCCATTCTCTATAACGAAGAAATATTTTCATATTCAGACATCAACAACATATTTAAGTGTTTTTCTAATCAGCTTACAAGACTAAACTTTTGAGGTCCCGAAATTTCTAAGAAAGACACCTGAGGTCATAAACAGCCGTCTCGCCTTTGTTATAGTTAATTGCATTAACACGAGTGCCATTATTTTTAGATTACATTGCCTGTACGAAATTCTTGCTCAGTTACTAAATGCACCACCGTCACCTATCGTGTATTATCAGTCGTAAACAAACTTGATAGTAATAAAATTCGAAATTATTTCTTATTAATTGGTTAAATTTGTTTTTTTTCTCTATTCACCCCCTATAACGAAATCTCTCTGTAACGAAAGAACATGATACGTCCCTTGAAATTCGTTATAAAGAGTTTACACTGTATATGTATTATAAGCCATACCAGGAAGATACAGTTAAGATAATAATAACAACAGATTCTTTGTAAAAAAATGGTCATCGTCACAAAATCAAAAACCCAAAAACAACAAGATATAGCTATTTCTACCAATTAGAAAATATACTTCTTAATAAGCTTTATCACCCAATCTTTGGATAAATTAAATCGAAAATCAAGTTTATATTGGACTCTGTCAGTTTGTTTCCTTGTAAAATCTTTTATAGCAGGATTCTCAAGATAACTAAAGCCTCATTTGTAACAAAGTAACCAGACCGAGTCTCCCCACAAATCTGTGTCCGGATTCTGCGCACGTACCACCACTTCCGACCTCTCATCACTCGGGATCACGCGATACTGTTATCAACAAGATTTGTACTGATTTTGTTGAGGAAGAATACACCCTGCATCAGAAATCTGTTTCATACTACTATAAATGAAGTGTTCCTTTGTTATGTTGGAAAATTAAACATAGATTTAGTAAAAGTTACAAGATTAAAAATTATTATTAAAATAAACAAATCAGTGGCGCTACAACCGTTTTAGCTCTGGGCCTCAGATATATTATTATAAGTATTTGTTTCATGATCATTTGTCAATCTAATAGGCAAGTAGGTGATCAGCCTCCTGTCCTGACACACGCCGTCGACATTTGTGTCTAAGGCAAGTCACGATGTTTTCCTTCACCGTTCGAGTGAATATTTAATGGTCACATTCAATGAAAGTCCATTGGTGCACAGCCGGGGATCGAACCTACGACCTCGGTTTTGAGAGTCACACGCTGAAGCCACTAGGCTCAAATTTTCACAAACATTATTAATAGCAAGTCAAAATACTCGATTTTTTAAATGTGAAATCTAATCATTTTACCTGATCAGTTTTAATTTTGTTATCCCAAGATAAACTGCGATAATTAACAGTGAGTTGCAACCCAGTCTCATTTGAGAACCTGCTTTTGAATAATTACCACAATGTAGTATAACATCGTAAGACCGATGTCAGCCGTAAAGATCATAAGTCAGGCACATAAATCTGACCTTTATTTCTAAGGAACAATGAAACAGACGCAACAATGTGTAAGCATATCGGCATTGAGTGGTTACGGAACTCTATACAGGGTAAATGGGTGTTAGCTATGATTTATAGATTATATTTTTATTAATTAATTGACAGTTAATATCTCATACTTTAAAATCACACGAACAAAAAGTAATGAGAATGTTGCTAGCTAGAATCATAAAATAATTTACGCTAAGTATATCAAATTTCGATTATTTGGGAGCAGCTGGGTACTCAGTGACCACAGCGCAAACGCATCAATCACCCGCCAATTCCCCCAAAAACAGTACATCTGCGGTGGTTAATAAACTTATAATCGTGTTTATTATCTATTAAGGGCTCACGTAACTGGAATCCCCACGGGGAATTGGCATTATTCATGCTGCACTGGTAAAAATTTTAATTTTTATTTTTTTAGTGTAACAGGAGGCAAACGGACCTCATCTGAAGTTAAGTGATACAGCCGCCCATGAACACTCACATTGCCAGGAGGCTCGCAAGTGCGTTGCCGGCCTTTTAAGAATTGGTACGCTTCTTGAAGGACTCTATATTGATTGTCTATATTATCACTCTATTCTATTGTCGTATTGATTCGGAAATACTTCAGTGGGCAGCTGGTTCCACATACAGGTGGTGCGTGGCATAAACTGCCTTAAGAAACGCTCAGTTGTGGAACGACGAACGTCGAGGTGGAACGGATGGTATTTTGTATTCTGTCTTGACATCCAAGACTGAAACTTATTTAAAACGCAAAATTTGAACTGCAACAGTCTTCATTAAACATCTACGCAATGATCAATATTTTTTATATCAGATGAAAGCCTTAGTTATTAACAGAATATTTCTTCCACAAATAATTTCCATAGAGTCTTTATAACGCAAAAGTGGATTTAGCCCAAATCGGAGCGGTGTCCCGCGGGCCCACAATTATTCATGGTGTATTCAGACATCAAAGTTTAGACTCGCAGTCCCCCGGGAGGCGTCCAAGTGCGCTCTTGTTTGAGTTTTATTATTTCCATTAGGACTCTTTGTTTGTGCAATCTTGACTGTTTTGTTATGGGCGGGATGCTTTATGGCCGGCTGGTGGAGTTATAATCGAATATTTATCTTTTAGTTGGCTGTCTTTAGAAGAACACATACCGTGTTTAAAAGAACTAATTACATCATAAATATTAGGTCCTGTTTGATGCTTTTTTATAATTACAGACGGAAGAAGAATTTTGATAGCAAAATATGCTGAATTACTTCTCTTACTTATAACAAATGTGCAATACTGTCAATAAATTACACCAAAGGATATTGATGAATGACAGCACACTCCAAATACCCTTTCCCATAATTATCGATATGATATCAAATCGAACGAAAATTAACCGAAAATTATTAAAGTCGCGTGTCGCCATTGTATCTATGACCCCAAAACGGCGCGGTGTAATGTCACTGTGACATCCCGTGACAGCTCGGTGACATCTGTCACAATCACGCGGGAAACGACTTCGACATGTGCGTATGCGGTCGAAAAAAGTTCGTACCGTGGAGGATACATGGGCTCGTGCTGGCAAACTGAAACTTTCTTTTATGGTCGCGTGTGCCCAAGAGAGTAGTACTTCATACTAAATGGGGGAGAAAAGAATTCAAATGAAGAATTATAAAATTAAAGCAAATTTTGATTTAAAATAGTATGCCAATTAATACTAATACTCGAAAGAATGTAGACTCAATATTGTATAAAAATCTTATGAAACAATGCGTAATCGTCGTTCCCGTAGCCTCTAACCCCGGGTTGACGAAGGTAGAAAATGTAAAGAATGCACATCTGAAATATTGTATAAGAGAAGGGTTACCTAATATAATATAAAAAAAAAAAAAAATTTATTTTTTTTCCCCCCCCCAAAAAAAAACAAAAAAAAAAAAAAAATCCCCCAAAACAAGGCAAAAAGGGGGGGGGGGGGGGGGGCCCCCCCCAAACCCCCCCCCCCCCCCCCCCCCCCCCCCCCCCCCCCCCCCCCGAAAGAAAATTAGATAAACCCCCCCCTTCCGGGGGCACACCCACAAAAAAACACACCCCCCCCCCCCCCGGGGGGGGGGGGGGGGGGGGGGGGGGGGGGGTGTTTGTTTTTTTTTTTTTTTTTTTTTTTTTGTTTTTTTTTTTTTTTTTTTTTTTTTTTTTTTTTTCTCCTCCCCCCCCGGGGGGGGGGCTTCTCTTCCCCCCCCCCCCCCCCCCCCCCCCCCTTTTTTTTTTTTTTTTTCCCCCCCCCCCCCCCCCCCCCCCCCCCCCCCCCCCCCCCCCCCCCCCCCCCCCCCCCCCCCCCCCCCCTCTCCCCCCCCTTTTTTTTTTTCCCCCTTTTTTTTTCCCCCCCCCCCCCCCCCCCCCCCCCCCCCCCCCCCCCCCCCCCCCCCCCCCCCCCCCCCCCCCCCCCCCCCCCCCCCCCCCCCCCCCCCCCTCCCTCTCCTCCCCCTCCTTCTTTTTTTCCCCCCCCTTTCTCCCTCGGTGGTTGTGTTTTTTTTTTCCCCTCCCCCCCCCCCCCCCCCCCCCCCCCCCCCCCCCCCCCCCCCCCTTTATAATTTTTTTTTTTTTTTTTTTTTTTTTATTTCCTCCCCCCCCCCCCCCCCCCCCCCCCCCCCCCCCCCCCCCCCCCCCCCCCCCCCCCCCCCCCCCCCCCCCCCCCCCCCCCCCCCCCCCCCCCCCCCCCCCCCGGCCTGTTTTTCCCCCCCCCCCCCCCCCCCCCCCCCCCCCCCCCCCCCTCCCCCCCCCCCCGGGGGTGTCTCCCCGCCCCCCCCCCCCCCCCCCCCCCCCCCCCCCCTCCCCCCCCCCCCCCCCCCCCCCCCCCCCCCCCCCCCCCCCCCCCCCCCCCCCCCCCCCCCCCCCCCCCCCCCCCCCCCCCCCCCCCCCCCCCCCCCCCCCCCCCCCCCCCCCCCCCCCCCCCCCCCCCCCCCCCCCTCTTTTTTTTTTTTTTTTTCCTTTTTCTTTTTTTTTTTTTTCCCCCCCC